TCGGCCAGGCTGCGGGGCTGCGAGGACCCGGCCGTCTTGTAGCCCATGACGTCGGGGGGCACCAGGATGGACTGGCAGACGTAGGACGTCACCACCCGGGCAGGGTCCCCCTCGCCCGCCGCCAGCCGCGCATCCGTCACGTTGGCCGGGCGGGAGGCCATCTTCCTGCCCTGGCCGCGAGGAAGAGGAGGGTGACGCCGGGCGGCCACAGCACACGCGTGCATGCAGGCGTGTGCGTGCATGTCTGCAAGTGACGGTGCACATTTGCACGTGCACCTGTGTGTGCAGGACCATGCACACGTGTGTGTGCGTTTGCAGGACTGCAGGTGTGCGCATGTGCGTGTGCACAAGTGTGCAAGTGTGCACGAGTGTTTGTGCATGTTTGCATGTCTGTTTGCAGGAGTGTACAGGTGTTTGCATGAGTGTGCAGGTGTGCAAAGGTGTTTGCATGTATTTGCATGTGTGTTTGCATGGCTGCGCACATGTATATATATGTTTGCATGACCACACACGTGTGTCTACATGACTATGTGCATGTGTGCATGTATGACTGCATGTACACCTGTGTTTGCACAACTGCATGCATACGTTTGCATGACTGTGCACGTGTTTGCATGACTGCAGGTGTGCATATGTGTTTGCATGAGCGTGCAAGTGTGCATGAGTGTTTGCATGAGTGTGCATGTGTTTGCATGACTGCATGCACACTTGTGTTTGCACAACTGCATGCATGAGTCTGCACGACTGCATGTGTGTGCACGACTGTGCATGCATTTGCATGACTGCAGGTGTGCATCTGTGTTTACAGTAGTGTGCAAGTGTGCATGAGTGTGCATAGTGGCATGTCTGTCTGCACAAGGGCACAGGTGTTTGCATGAGTGTGCAAGTGTGCATGGCTGTTTGTACGACTGTGTGTAGTTGCACGTGTGTTTGCACAGCTGTGCGCAGGTGTGCACGTATGCCTGCATGTACGCCTGTGCTTGCACAACTGCATGCCTGCATTTGCATGGTTTTGCACGCGTTTGCACGACTATGTACACATTTGTGCGCCTTTTCGTACAACCGCACGCACGCCTGTGTTTGCACAACTCATGCATGCATTTCCACCACTGTGTGCACGTGCTTGTGTGCTTGCACGACTGCCTGCATTGCACGACTGCCCATCTCTGTGTGTGTTTGCACTACACATGCGTGCTCACCTGTGCGCCTGCGCTCTGCATGCATGCACACGTGTGCCTGCACGCCTCTATATGCATGTGCACACGCATTCCCAGCACCACGTGCACCCACCCCCGCCTGTGCCCCCGGCCCAGTGCCTCACCTGGTGGCCGCAGAGGCTGATGTTGAAGTGGTGGAAGTACTTGAGGCCCTTGGCAGTGAAGCTGGGGCCGCTGGCGAAGGCCGTGCCGGCGGCCAGCGCCGAGAAGTCGTAGTGCAGGATGCGACCCGGCAGCGCCAGGGAGAAGCTGCAGTTGTTGTAGCAGAGGGAACGGAGCTGGGGGGGCGGCAGGAGGTGGCAGTCAGGGACAGCCGGGGGTTGGTGTCACCCCGCCAGGGACAGGTAGTGTCACCCACTGGGGTGGCTGGGGTCATCCCCTCGGGGACAGCTGGGGGGCACAGTGTCACCCACCCAGGGTCAGATGTTGTCACCTACCCTGTTACCCCCCCCAGGATGGTCAGGGGGGCTGGTGACACCTCCCTGGGGACAGCTGGGGTGCTGGCATCACCCACCCAGGGTCAGATGGTGTCACCCCCCCGGGATGACCAGAGGGGCTGGTGTCACCCACCCATGATGGGGGGGGCAGCTGGCATCACCCCTCTGGGACCCACGGTGTCACCCATCTGGGATGGCCGAGGGTGACTGGCATCACCTGTGGGGACATCACCCCACGGAGCCCCACCCCCAGGGGACACACGGGCACCTGGTTGCTGTGGGTGCCGGGCCCGCAGGGGTGGCAGGCGGGGATCCCATCGGAGGGGTGACCCCGCAGGTAGGTGCCGGGCGGGCAGGGCTGGCAGGCGCCCGAGCTCCGGTCCACGGCG